GATGCTTATTTTCGGGTATTAATAAATCTTGGTGATGCTTATTTTCGGGGAGTGCTTATTTTCGGAGGAATACGGTAGTTTTCATTTGATATTATGTTTTACTTGAGCAAAGCATATTATAAGCAACTGATGAAATTTACCCGTTGTTAATAAATTCAACTTAAGTATGAATATTCCTGAATTTCAATTGGTCAATCGTTTGAATTGAAGAATATATTTGCCTAGGGGGCCTATGAAGGAAAGATTTCTTTTTTTTTTTTTTTTTTTTTGATAACTGTGCATTTGTCAGGTAATTGAAATAAATTCCTCTACTCTGATTAAAATGTATAAATTTTTTATGGAATATTGTATTCAGAAACAAAAGGAATATTGGTTAAAAAACATGATGGCCAATACCTCAAAAAAAAATTTAAACGAAGAGTGGTAATAGTAAATGAATGTAATTCTTTATTAATTCTGAAATACAGAGATAAAACTCTGTTTCCTCGAAAATATAGAGTGATAAGTTTAAAAATATATGGTACTTTTATGTATAGAATATTTAGGTAAAGAGGATACATTCGCTTAGGTATTGCAGAACAGAAAATATCTATTCCGTCATACTTATATATGATATTTATACGAAATAAAATGTCTAAAATATATAATATGATATCTATATTAACTTATTAACTATAATAAATATACTATATCGATAAAATATTAAATATGATAAATTCGTAGATTAATTTACAGTAATATTTTAATGCAAAAAAAAAAATTATGACTCCCCAATTAGTCTTGGTCAAATATTCAAATTATAATTGAAGAAGAAAAATCCGGCATTGTTTCCACTTCATCTTTATAATTATCTCCAATAAGAAATCTAAATACGGAAATGATACGTTTTGTATACGTATTTAACGATTCCGTATCACAATTACGTATATTTTATAGTTTTATTTTTTTATAATTTTTTAGAAAACTTTACAAAAGAATCCATGAGTACCCACTCGGAATAAGTGACTGGTAAATAATTCTTCCGTATTAACATCATTATTTGTTCTTCAGCAGATGTTATGATTTGCCAAAACATATATTTCCTTTCTAGCAGAATATTTTCGTCTTCATTCTCAACATTTTTGTCAATAATTTCTAAATCACCCGTACTTGGAAATATGTTCCAATTGTTATTCATTGTCTTTATGATTTTTCTTTGATCGATCTTTCTTAATATTTTTGTGACATTTATTGCAATATTAATCTAGCCTCTACTGATTCTTAGGTATGGAATCATACCTTTCAAATTCTTTGAATTTTGATTTCAAATCTTGAGAAATGATTCGGTAATTTCTTTCGTCCATTTAAATGGGGACTTTTTTTTTTTTGGTTTACTTCAGCTTCATAGTTGAAGTATTTATCGCAACAAGCTAAGATAAAAAAAAATAAATAAAGTTCATAAATAGTTAAATTTTTGTTATGAAACCCAAAGTCCTGAACAAGACTTGAAAAATATAAAATCAAATAAATATATACCATTTCTTCGTTGTTTTTTAATAAAATAAAGAACATTAAAGTTTGTCACTGAAATATTATTTTTTTTTATTGTCAATATGAGTTGTATTTATATTGAGAAAAAGAAAAAATTCTTTTTAAACAACAAAGCAAAATCAAATGATAATTTGATCAGATTTGCGTTAAGATCATATGTCGCGATTATATATACAACAATGGTTGCGATAAATTTTGTGAACAATACCTACCAAATACGTTCAACTTTAACTACGGCTCTGCTTAAACAATCATCAATACATCGATATTTTTGGAGGGAGTCTAGGAAAATTTGTTATTGTACTTGATTCTTCAACTAGTCGGTGTATTTTAAATACTTACTTGACAAATCTTTCACTGTTAAATCGAGTTACAAACTTAGTAAATCATAGCAAGCCCCATATGGTAAGCAAGGTGAAAATAGAAATTTTGATACTATTGAAACCTATTAAAACTCTTTCTCATGATATTCGAACATGCTTGGCAAATGATTACATAACTGATACGTCTTTTAATAACAATTTCCTGTTAAGAAACCTTAATTGTATCATCCCTAAATTTATGAAGGGCGGTAGTATGGAATATGACTATGGCCGGTTCCATTTTTTTTTAAATCAAGCTTGACAATAAAATTTCCTTTTTGAATGTCTCAACCATATTTTGAGTATTTCAAAGTCAGGATTTATCTTTTGTTCTCTCATTTGTAACGTTAAGCTCAAATGAACTAACTTTTTGACATAATCAAGTCACGAGACTTAGCGATCCATATCCATATCTCCAACGTCTTTTCTCCACGTACATGGAGTACGGTTTAAGTTAATAGGTAAGGCTTTAGGGATAACAGCTTTAAATACAGTCAATTATGTGCACTCCAAATCGGTGAAGGGACAACTGTTTCTCCATATTCGAGCTGCATTCATGAACTGACGTGCTTTTCGCGTTTACCGATGTTCCTATAAAAAGTTCACCCATCATAATTCTCTAGCCGCAGTCGATCTGTTATATGAGTTATATTATAATTATTGCAAAATGTCATAAATAATAAAAGGTATTTATATAAATAAAGTTTAAATGACTATTTTAAAATGTATATAATATAATTAATATTATACAATGTCAATATTCTAATGATACAAGTTGCAGCAATAAATAATTCCCTATTTTTTTTTGAAAATAAAATTTGTTTATTTATTTATTTATTTTTGCGTGTACTATTGCAATCTATGAATTTCCTACTAGAGAAATAAAACATAAAATTCATTGACCAAATATGAGCAGTAAAATTTGTTCATATTAAAAATAATTATCTACAATTCTTATGTTAGAAAATTGTCAGTCCGGTCTCTTTCAGATATTATCATCCAATCAGGTCGCATCTGCTCTTTGTCTACCAGTTCTTCGTGCTTTCTTCACTTAATTACTAGGCTAGGGAAAGGTTTCGGAAACCGTTGTCACACTCCGGACTTATAATAAATGCTTTTGCTTTTTTTTTTTGTAAATTATTTTAATCATTAACGATTTTTGGTTATAACAATTTCGTGTAATGTATTTATTTAATGTTGAAACACACGACGTGTAGATTTTTAATTAGACTGTGTATGTTTTAGATACAGGATTTTTACCGCAGCAATCCAAATTTATCGCTGAATTACCAAAAATAGTAATTCGTGTAAAAAATCTATTGGATAAATAATATGTAAACGTTATTGTAAATTGATTTCTCAAGTTTCATTTTGGATTTTTTTTTTGCTGGTTTGTTTTTTATTAATAAATTATTCTCTTTTTTTCAAAAGGAAATTCTTTTCGATGATAACCTAATTTTAAAGGTGTTATTAATAAGGTCACATAACATATTTTATATTTTTATTTTAAACAGGCTTGTCAGGTTGGCACCATAACATAAATTCTAGTTTTGTAAGTGGAACTGTGGGGAAAATTTTCCGTCTATATAGTAGACAAATTACCGAATAATCATCTTACCTATTATCTTTGATCGAATTAAAAGAACAGGTTAAATTAAGCATCAAATTAATATCTTTTATTTTTTTACGGTGAGTTTTATTTTATATATCGCAAAATTTACACGTCTTGAATTATTCGTCTAAATGTATTTATTTTAAAAAGTAATTTAAAGTTTACTTCATAATCTGGTTTTCCTTTAATAAGTAACAAATGTAAGTTTGAAATTTTTTTAGATTTTTTAAATATGCATTATTATTTCAGAATTGAACTTATATTTTACAATGACAACTTAGAATGAATCTCCCTGAAATAATCAAAGCTCCTGCTGTTCAATTGATAGGAGAAAAATGTTATACAACGTTGGTAGAAGATCTGAATATTACTGATGCGGCTTGTCTAAAGCTTTTATTATCCAAAGGTCTTGGCTTTGGAATCGTTTTGGGCGGTGCGTTGGTCAAACTACCTCAAATCATCAAGATTATGGGCGCAAGGTCAGCTAGTGGTCTTAGCTTGTCGAGCTATATCTTGGAGACTTGTGCTATGGGTGTTTCATTGGCTTATAATTTTCGACAAGGAAATCCTTTCAGTACATTTGGAGAATTAGTATTTTTGACTATACAAAATATCATCATATTACTTTTAATTCTTAACTACTCGGGTCGTTCCAGAGATCTATTTTTATCTGGTATCACAATTGTCGCAATCTCTTATGTTCTTGGAACTCCTGCGATAATTAACGATGTTTTCTTATCATTTCTTCAAGCAATCACCATACCAATTTCTCTTGCTTCAAAGTTTCCACAGATAGCAACAAATTATGAGAATGGTAGTACGGGTCAACTTTCTTCATTTGCCGTGTTTGGCTTCACTGCCGGTTCTTTAGCTAGAATATTCACTACCTTGTCTGAAATTGATGATTCCTTGATTTTAATTGGTTATATTCTAGCTTCCGTACTTAACATAGTTTTAGCTATACAAATGGTTATGTATTGGAATGTTGAGAAGGTAGAAAAGATTAGTATAAAAAAAGAAGATTAAGTTTGTATATTGTACGGATAATAAATTAGCTTTTGTTGTATTTTTAATCTAAGGAATGGCTTTTTTTTTTGTTTCTTGTAAAAATGTTGGTTCGTAATTAATTATACATTATCCAGCCTGATAAAAAATCGAAACATTTTGTGTAATATCAGTCTGTTTTATCTAATAAGTTCGGCTTAGATCACACTTAGTTTTTAATAGCGATCTAAACTTTTCTTGGTTGTTAATAATCTTTGATGATGATGTTTTTCCTTTCTTGAATCAGCCACCAATCCACTACTCGTTTGTTTTTTTTTTTTTTTTAAAAAAAAAAGAGGAAAAAAAAATGTTATGTATATTTAAGTCATCCATTTTAAAAATTTTCCGTTTTACATCGCCTATTCTTTATAATGATTTCAAGAAATGTTTGAATTTCTTCAATTTATTACGACTAAGCCACATTATTATGATTTATTATTTATTTATAACAAGTCTTTAAAAAGAAAGATACGCACATATCGAACAAATATTTATTAAACTTTCTAAGCCGTGCTTTTTCCCTTTGATTAATTTTTTTGGAAACGCAAAGAAGGAAATAAATAATTTAACAATTTGATTAACCTTTTTATTGTTTTTAAAAAAAAAAACCCGGCACTAAGCCCATGATCACTTTAAAAATTTAGGGAGGCTAAGGTTTTTTTTTTATTTGATCAATCTTGATAAACATCATGGCTTTTTCCGAAAAGCCACGCGAATGATGAAATGATGATTACGAATAAATTTTATATGATTTGAAATCAGCAAATCGAAAAAAAAAAAATATTTTTTTTCTATATAAACGAACTGTTTTTAGCTTTCATATTTTTTTTTTATTCCTTCAAACATTTCAACGAACGAAATTTAAAAAATACAAAAAAATGAAATCTATAACTTTTACTTTGGTACTTGCGATCTTTATCGCCATAGTTTATTCCTCCCCTTTTCCACAAGAAGGTGGTGAACCCAAAAAAATTGTTCTTTCTGGTCCAGGTCCAGGTCCTTGGTCCATTGGTTCTGAACAAATCGCTAGTTGGTGGTCAACAGGAATTCCTGATGGTTTGTAAAAAAAAAAAAAATTAATTTAATAATATAATATGAAATTTTAATTCACAAACTTTTTTATGTTTTTCTTTTCAACGAATTCAATTAATATTTCTATTCAAAAATTTTCTAATTGAAATACTCCCAATTACAAAAACGTTTGATTTACGTTACGTTTGACTTTTTAGAACCGGTAACAGTCTCCACCTTCGCAGAAGGAAATACTACGCCGATCTTTAGCGCTGATGTAAGTTTATTGCTGCGATTGACAATTTTTCATGCAATTCGATTTGCCCTTTTTTTTATTATTAATATTAATACCTTTATAAAAAATAATTAGTCTACCATTCAAGCAGGAAGTCTGCCAATCTCAATCAATGATCAATATTCTCCTGAAACTAATTATGTAGTTGAAGTCGCTCTCAAGTCTGACCCTTCGGTTAAAGGTACAAGTCAACCTTTCACAGTAACTCCCTCTGCTGATGGTGGTGGTGGTGCTCCAAAGGAACCGGAGCCTAAATCAGCAGAGGAACCAAAGGAACCATCAAAGGAACCTGCAGAGGAACCAAAGGAACCTGCAAAGGAACCTGCAGAGGAACCAAAACAACCCTCACCTGCAGAGGAACCAAAGGAACCTTCACCTGCACCTGAAGAGGAACCAAAAGAACCTGAGGAACCAAAGGAACCTTCACCTGCACCTGAAGAGGAACCAAAAGAACCTGAGGCACCAAAGGAACCATCTCAATAAACCGCTTCAACCTCCGGCTCAAAGATAATTTTTTTGTGAATCTAAAATTAAAATATTTTATAATTCGTTTCTTATAAAGATTTTTAATCAACAGAATCAAATTTATTTCTGTATAATCCTTAGATAACTTTTCCTCTTTTTTTATAGAAAAAAAAAATTACTTACATTCCTTTATATTTTCTAATATAGTATAGGTATATTTTAATAATTTTTATTAGTCCGTAATTAAATAATTGTATTTAATAAATTAAAATTTGGCAGAAGTGAAATATATCTATTTTGGCTTTACTTTAAACATTTGAATTTATACCGATGTGTTAATTTGAACCCAATGATTTCATTCACTAGATAACGAAATTTTTTTGCAAAAAAAATATTAATTATTACTACTAACCTACCTTAAAAACCTCGCATAGTAAAGTTCGGGATAATGTTTTGTTGAATGTAACATCGAAATTTTTCGCATCTTCAAATTAAAACTTACCCAACACTGTATTATCTTGGCCAGGTCTTCATAGAATTTGCAATGAAAAAAAACTTTTACTTTACTATGTCGAATATATGCCCAGGTTATAGAAACTAGCATCAATCATCCCAATCAAGTGGAACTTCGGTTATATACAACTTGCTTGGCGAAGGTCTTTAACATAAATAAATTCACCGATGAAAGATGATGTGATTGTAACTCCAATCGAAATCTTTGCCTGATCGAAGCAAAAAGCAAAAATTAAGAATGAGATTTCTCGCAAGGCTTATTTTATTTTCCTGCGAATTTCCAATATTTAGAAAGGACGATTCGTAGAATAAGTTTGTTTTATGACTTGTTTTTAAAAATTCAATGCCAAATTGAGCATCACAAACTTTAAGATTCTACTAATTAATTTTGGATATTCCTTATCCAGTATAATCATATGAAAGACACTTGAGGATCAGAAGAAGGTAAAAATTCATTTAATATTAATAATGATGGTTGCCATTTATCCGACGAGTAATTATTCGGCTTGAATTCCGAATAACGGATTTCCATGATTACGTAACAGTTATTTTTTTTTAGAAAAAAAAAGAATCTTTTTCGATAAATTCTCTTTAAATCTTTCCTTCTATATAACGCGTCTTAAATTGAAATTACTAATTGTGATGTAGATTTAATATAGTCAAACATAAATGATTAATTATAATATTTCAAAATTAATAGAGCTTACAAAAGAACAAAATTGTGTACTATTAAATAAAACTAGGTGCTAGGTGTACTGAAAATGGGTAACTAATAGGGAAAAAACAGAAAGTTGGGAAAACCAATTATTAAAAATTAAATGTTATTATAAGCATAATTCTATTTGTAATTCTTTAGTAAATAAAATAATTATAATAATGTCTATAATGTCTTATACACATTTAATATCTGATACATGATCCTCAAATGCTTCATATGAAAAGTGGAAAGCCCAACTTAAGAAAAAAAAAAAAAAGTTCCAATATACCTTCTTCAACTATTAGAGGTATAGAGTTTGAATAAGTTTCGACAATGATTTTTTAGGTCAGATCTCAAAAAAAAGAATTCAAGGGGTTAACATCGAGAAAGCGTCAAAGAATCACGTGTGTAAATCCTTACTCCAACATTTGAATTCACTATCAAGCCACGTACATGTATATATTATATTTATTAAGAATAAATTAAATAACAATTTTAAAAATAAAGTATTTTGAATTCAAGCAAGCAATTAATTATCTATCTTCTTTCTATGTTTTTCTAGATCACTTCTTTTGGCTAAGGACTAAGCATCTTACAAAATATCATTATGTCTGATTTCTCTTCCATCGAAAGGGTTTTGAATAGCTACATTAAATTGAAAAAATATTTTATATTTCAAATAACTTAGTGTTATCAGGAAACGCAATACGAAATGTTCAAGATGCGTTTCTTTTTTTTTATTTTTTTATGGAAATTAGGTGTTTCTACTACCTCCTCCTATCATTCATTGGTCACAGATAATATGGATCGTTTAAAATTAGATTACGAGACATAGTAAATCGAACATTACCAAAATTATTTATCAAGCTCAGAATTTTTAACACAAACTAACAGACGTTTATTTAGAAATGACTGTCAAGGGCCATTTTTATACAATAATATTATGAAATTTTGTCAGAAAAAATAATGATAACTTTTTTTTAAATCGTAATTTGGAAAGTAAGGATCAAATCATTAAATTACCGATATGTTTTCCAATTTTAAGAGAGAAGATACTTTTATAGGCGGAAATTTTTTTCGATCTTGCCTTGAAAAAGTCTTTGATTTCAACTTTTTGAAATCTAAGGCTAAAATGTAATAATTATTTCATAATTCGTAATATTATAAAAGCTTGTCCTCTATATTTTTTTTAGATTTCATTATTTTTTATTTTATTCTTAGAACAATAAATCAAATATCCTAATAAATATATATTATTTAAAAATTATGATATTTACCGTAGTATCTGAATTGTAATACAAAGGTAGGATACCTTCTGTTGCATTCACATTTTAATTCTTTTCTCCGTTTCGTCATTTCACGGTCATAAGATAATAAATGTAATCGATTTATTTGTCGAGGAATAACTTTTTGAATGAAAATATGGTTGTTTTTAGCATTTTTACATCGGCAACGACAATTAATACAATGTTTAAAATGGTATTAAAAACAAGTTTCATCAAGATTTTTTTTGTGGCAGCCTTGACAAATCATTGTATAAATTAAAAATCAATAAAAATGTATCGTAAAGAGAATAAATTAAATTAAATTACAATACAGATATACTTAGGTGACCACTTTCCTGGGTGATAAAATCTTCATGTGCATCACCATTATATTCTATTATCGTTATACAAGATTTGGGAATTTTTAAAAAACTTTTTGTATAACAATTGATAATAACAATGAAGGTAAGTTTAATAAAAATTCAAATAAAAATAAAATAAAATAAAATGCAAAAAAGCATAAAGTTCAGCATGTCTCAAATGAGTTTACTTGACAGTTAGATGATTTTCTAATTCTTTTTTTTATAAATTCGCATTAGAACCAGTTTCAGATGCTAAGAAACATCCTCATTACAAGAAATAGAAGGTAATGCCATGTATTATTTATTATCCACATTTAATAATTATAATAATTCATTTTATAAAATTTTATCGAATAAATATAATAACATAATACTGTAATTCGTTAATTATAGAAGTTACGAGTGATGAAGGTAAATAAAATAGCAAATAAAAGCATTTAACAAATATTATAATTTGTTAATTATGCTCGAATTTTTGTTCAAGGTTTAGATGATAAAGAACATTATATATTATTTATGTATTAAATTATTAGTAATTAATTTCAAAATTTATTCATAAATAATAAATTATGATAGAGTTGGTTTCAGATGCTCCTGATGCCCTAACATTTAGAGAATTATATGGTAATGAATATTGTTAATAACAGTTCTTTGATATATTTTGGGTTATAAACGGAGTTTTAAGGTAAGCAAAAGGTATCGTGTTTATTGTTTTATTAATTTAATTAATAATAATCTTAATTCTAATATAATACAACATAAATATCATATTGCCTGCAACGTCCAGCGCTCTATACAATCAGGTATGTTTATTAATTATACCTTTCGGAGTTTTTATAATAAAAATGTAAAGGGAAATAATGGATAACGTTGTTTTCGTGTTTAGGGAATTAACGGACTTTTCAAGGATTGAATGATTTGTTTATTATTGCGAATGTAAATTGTGTTAACTGTTGTAATTGTTAAACTTTATTCCGCCATTTATATACATGAATTTTAACAGGACATTTTTGTCCAGGAAACAATTGATTTGGCTAGTGGACTAATTTGGCCGGAAAACAATTATGACCAGTGAACAATATTGGTCCAAATGATCTTCATTGCGCTACATGTAATAATAATAATAAAAATAATAATAATAAACGCTAGTAGATGCATAATAATAATAATAATAATCCTAATAAAATAATAATAATAGAAATAATAAAATAAAAAAATAATAAATGCTAATAAATGCCAACTACCATCTATCTTGAATATCTTGCATTACCCATTTCTCATTCTTCGTAATAATATATACATTATTAATGTAACAATATTTTAAGTTGATTCATTATTTTGTTTTTTTTTAAAAAAAAATAAAATTTCATTGTTTTTAATATTTAGATTATAAACCATTTAACTTTTATATATCTTAAATTATACAATTAAAAGTTTAATTAAACTTTTAATTAAACAATATCTAATATCATAGGAAGTAGGTAAAGTTTTAATATATATAATAAAATTTATAAATAAATAATTTATTTTAGTAAATATATTAAATTAGACTATTTATCCCTTAGACTGTAGAGCAGGCGAATTTGCCTGCGAAGTTAAAAAAAAAGTGTTAATTTCTTAATAAAATATTAAATATTAATTTTATTAATATCATTAT